GCCCGCGTGCCAATTAAAGCCGGGCTAATGAGCTGCGGGCAGTGGAGTCGTGGTGCGAGGGCACTGGTGGCTTCCACCGGCGTGCTCTGTAGTGATGCCCTGAAAAGCCGGCGTTGAAGGCTCGATAGTCGTAAGGCTGTTAAGCAGGTGTTCCTCATCATGGCACCAGGCACACGGGGGATCTCTCCTCCAAACATGCACGCCAAACACCCTGTCATTTCAGGTTAAATACAATCACAATATACATATTCATTATATTCCCGAGAGATAATTAGCATATTCATGATACCTGTGAACTAATTAGCATATGTCAATGTATTTCACACATGTCTGTTAGTGTCCTCGGGTGGTCTTTGGGGGTCCTAAGATGAAGGCTTATACTCCTCATCACAGTGTCTGCTGGTTGACCTTTGCTTCTGCACAAGCTTGGTTCTAAGATCACGTATACCGTGTCCTTCCAGGTCGTTTTGCTCTGGCTGTGTTGCCTGCTTGGTGCTTCTTTATCTCTGTAGCTTGGTGCATCTGCCCTCCTAAGGCCGAGCTGTCTGGAGTAGAATTACTTAGGAATCTCTCTATCTTAGAGCTTTCCTGTCTTCTCAAAACAGCAAGGATCTACTTTAGTTTAATTAGAGTCACTCTAGTAAGTGGAAATTTTACATTTATGGGTATCAGTCGGAGCACAGCAGCTTGGAGAAGGTCTCTCCTTGCACGTGAGCAGCGGCAGCTGGGGGTTAGGGCTCACATTGGTTCCATTCTTTGGTTTTTATTCGTTGTTTCTTTTGAACAAGGTCAAAGTTGGAACTTTGCTTTTGGGTGCGGATCAGTTTTCAAGTGGAGCAGGTTCAGGTTATTTGTCAAGACCCTCAAGAGTCTATGGGAAGAGTGATCTCAGAGGAAGGAAGATTAAGCATGGGGCCATCTTTCAGAGGTCATCGAGGAGGGGAGATTAGTTAAAGCCAGACAACTGCGTCTGATATCCCAGGTGCTTACCAGCTGCCTTTGCGGTGTTCTCCTGGGACTAAAAACCCACTTGGGAGGCCCCATGCACCGAGTCGCAGGTCTCTGGGATCTGGAGCTGTCTGGGTCCACCCAGCTGGGAATTGCCTGTGATCTTGTGCTCAAGAAAACTCACCAGTCTGGTGGAGGCTGGGTGAGTGGGGTGACTTCATTTTGCTTTTCAGGAGTTTTATGAGGACGGCTTCATTTCTTTAAAAAATAGATTATCAGACTACCTGGTGCGTATGTTAAAGATAGAAAGCATGTTGGATCTTAGCAGGAGTTGTGCAAACGTTGCATTTATTTTGCTGAACACTTCCTTGCCAGCTGCAAAGCACAGCTGCCTCCAGCACTGCACGCTCCAGTAAACATCTCGTACCCATCCTATAAAATTAAATGAAGGTAATTATTATGTTTCATCGAACTGTGCAGGGGAATGTGTGCAGTGGCACCTATGTTGAGTGCTTGGCTAAATCTTTTTTTCCTGGACTTCACAGTTTACCTTCAGGGTTGATGAATGTTGGTGCTCGTGTTAGGAGAAGGCAGTGTCTCGGTGAGCTGCTGCTGGGTAGACAAGGTGCTCTGGAGGTCTGTGGTGACTGTCGAGCTGGTGAAGGAGCAAGCAGGAGCCGTGGTGAAGACGAGAAGAGGCAAAGGTCGTTGCAGAGTTAGTGCTTTGGTAGGTTACGCTGCTGAATAAGGCAGCTGAGACCTCCAGAAATACCCAACAACGCATCGTTTCTCTTAGGATCACGTGGAGGCTGGGTATGGACATCGCCGTCATCCTCGGTCGCTCGGCTTATGAGGATGTTTTGCTGTAGGCGGTGAGCCAGCGTGGGTTGTGAACCGGCTGGCTCCAGACATGAGCTGGTGCGCTGTGGAGCCTAACGGAGGGCTGTTCTCGTTATCGTGGTGACCCGGTGCTGCACTGGTGGTTCTTGGTGCTGAGGTAAGGTGGGTGCTCTGGCTGATCTGTGGAAGGGGAGGCTGCTTTCCTGGTCTGTCAGTGAGCTCTGGGAAAGCGGTGGTGCAGAAGATGGAAGCTCCCCCAGCAAACTCGGGCTACCAGACTTCAGGAGCTGAACTCAGCATTTTGCTTGTGTTTACACTCAGATAAAACCCTGTCTATATGTGCTTTACACTTAAGATGAGCCTTCTTTGAGCGTGGTGAACCTGTGGGAAGATGATGATCTGCCTGCCTGAAGCTCAGTTATTAATAATAAAGTATTTAAATGGCAATTTGCTTTTCAGCAGCACCTTTAATTCACGGCTCTCCAAACGCTTTACAGACATTGGTTAACATAGCCTCACAACAGCCCTGTGAGGTAGGTGGATATGATCATCCCCACTGCTGTGGGGACAATGAGGACACCAAGGGCAAGGGGCTTGGAGCACTTATGCTGGGATTTGACCTAGCACTTTGCCATTTCTGTCCTGTTAGGCCTTCAGCTTCAGATCATGCTTTTCTAATGCATGGGGTTGACTCAGTGTGGGGCTATACCGATTAACGAGCCTGTGACTGGCTGGCACAGATGATAAAGGGCATTAATCTAAGGCAGCAGTGTATTAGCGAAGTAGATGGTTCCTTGGTGCTTCTTGCTGCTGGAATAATCTGAGGATTTGAAGGCATATCCAAAACAGATATCAACCAGTGAGCATGGCAGGCTGTAACTGGAGAAAGCCTTTAGACACCAGGTGAGGAAGCTATGTGGGATGCTACTGTAAATATATTGATCAGAAAGGACATAATAATTTATATATAAAGTCCACCCTTGCTCCTTCCCCAGGGAAAAAAAAAGAACCTAGAAAGTCGCTGCTGGTTGTTATATGTCAGCTTCAAGCTCTGGGCCCTTGGCTTCATAGCACCTGCAAAAGGAAGAAAACACGGTGCATCAGCAGCCTGTTTGGGCTGGCAAAAGAACTTAAGCAATGGATACTCTCAAACCCAGTCCCAGTGCTCGTTTAGCTTTAAAACAGCTTAAAATTATGTGAAGTGCTGGCATGTAATGGATCTGAGAGTACTGATGGGAGTGTTCTCCAACATCACCTGTGGAGCAGGAGTGTGGTAAGCTTGGCCGAGAGGGCGAGACCTTGATTTCACTAAGGCTAACTTATTTACCTCTTCTTTTAATGACAAACCACTCTAGCTCTGATGGCTGGCCCTAAGTGGTGGCACCTATGTGTGTGAGGTATACTTGACACATTGAGTTCAGGCAGCTTGGATAAACCCGAGATGGGCACCCAAACTTTCACCAGGCTCACTGGAACCAGTTTGGACCTTTAGGAGTTTGGCAGCTGTTTTTTTTTTTTTCTCCCCTTTCTAAGGGAATAAGAAAGCAAAGAAACAACTCAAAGGCATGCTCTCTTCCAGCAAGAGAAATAATCCCCAGCTAGCTCTCTAAAAAGCAAGGCTTAAAAGGGAAACCTTTTCTGACGGTGGGTAACTCATGCTGTTGTTCATGTTGATGTTCTTCATGGAGATCAGAGTGATGCTGTTATCCTTCTGGCTTGGGCCTGCCGAGCAGCTGTCGAGAAGAGAAGGCAGTATTAACTACTCTGGAAAATGAGAGAAGGGAGTTTCTTTGCACACAGCTGGAGGCAAACTGGCAAGGCTGCGGCTGGCTGGCACACGGGACCGGGGTTGATTTGCACTGCCCTTTGGACTGCTGTCCTGATTGAGGCCCATCCCTAGTGCCAAATTCCCCATCCCCTGTCTGAACACAGGTTCAGAGGTCTCTGGGGAAACAAGCATTGCATTCAGACAAATTCGGATGCAGTGGTTTGCCCAACAGAAAGCACCATTGTCACCTGTGTCACTACTTGTAGGCAGAATTGGTTTGGGTCTGGTTCTCAGTGACTGAATTGCCTTCTAGCCCTGCAGCCACTACCAGGACTGGAACAAAAGGAAACAGTACCGTGTCCCTCTGTCCTATGCCCTTATTTGTCATACGAAGGGAGCCCTGGATATTTTCACATCTGATGCTGCTGCTCATGTATTGCCAGTGTCTCTCTCAAGAGTGAGAGTTAGAAGTGTTAGGAAGGTGGAATTCCCCTTCCTCCCTACCCTAAGGTGGTTTTGGTGCCAGTGGAGACTGGATGACTTTGAGGATTGGGGTGCCTCGGCGGCGCAGTCCTCTGCTCTGAGATGTCTTGCCTCGGTGGCTGCAGGTCACTTAGATCATGATCATTAAGGGTATCGGGGAACCATTGATGCTAATGCAAATTTGGAACCTAAACACTCAGGGACTTTGCTCCCTGTGTCCCTTGCCTTTCCAAGGCAGGTTTTATTACTTTGGTAGGAAACCATCAGATGGAAAAGTAGGACCAATGTGTTTTGGTCCATTCCAGCTCTCGTTCCCTGCTGCTTTCCCATGTGCAGCCTCTCTTCTTGGGTAGCAGTGATGGACCATGGGGTTCGGATGGACCATCCTCCGCTTGCTGCTTCTCTTCCAAATGTCTCTGAATTGGGTCCCCCTTATCCCGTTCTTCCTAGACAACAGTAATAGGCGTCTTGGAAGACATTTTTGGGGACCTGATCTCATCTCACTGAGGCTGCTTTGAGATCCAGAAACCCAAGTTTAGACCTCAAATCTGTATCTGGGCAAAGACAGAAAAGCAAACTGCTTTTGGAAGGTGATGAGTCTTCACAGATATCAGTGCAGGTTTGAAATGAGTCCCCTAAATATTGAACTTCTACCTTTGACTCCATCAGGCAGAGGATGAGGTGCTATGACAGGTCATTTTGGTTTTTTACCTGTCTCAAAGATGTCTTGAAATGCTTCCAACTGAAATAACCAAAGTAGCCTATTTTCCATGTTAAAATTAGTTCTGGAATAAACCTGGCATTTTCAACAGGATGTGAATAGTGTGAGCAGCCTTACCTCTCTGACACCATGGAGGTCCCTGGTTTCTGTTTGTCTGGGGGGAGAAAGGCAGTTGGTGATGTACAGGTGAGAAAACATCCCAGCCAAGCAATAAAATATGTCAGCTATATTCAGAATTACGTTGTAGAGGTAATGAGATTACCTCTCATCAAATGAGATTAGAGAGACCACGGGGGATACTTCAGAGTTGATTGGAGAAAAATCTTCAGCTAATGTGACATACAGGCAGGACTGAATGCTTTGCTGCCTGTTTAGTCACTAGAGTCCTTTGGTCTTTTGGCAGTTACCATCTTGCTGTAGAGCAGCCTTGCCCTCTAGTGGGAAATAGGATTTCGAAGGAAAAGGAGCATCAGACTCCGTGACTTTTGCTGGAAGAGCCTCCCACCACTGGAAATCTGCACATTTAACTGCAGCAAACTTCACAGTTTCCTTGTGCAGATGGGTCTGGGCTGGGGATCTAAAGAGGTGGTCACACAATGTTCCTAACTGCTGAATCTGTGTTCAGTTTGGCTTAAAGCCTCACCCTGTGTAAGCTTTTTAAAAGCATTTTAGGAATTGCAAGATCCGTGTAGAAACTGATGACTTTTTGATTAGGGAAAGACAGATCACCCCAGGCAAATACCTTCTGAGTCCTTTGAGCGGTTACACTTGAACCTCAGGCTGACCACGCTGACCAGAATGATCACAACCACTATCAGGATAACTATGAAGCTGATGACACCTAGGGATAGAGGAAAGAACCGTCTGCGACTGATATAACAACGAGCCTCTCCTCAGCTTCCGCGGTAGTGGAGAGACTACGACTGCCATCAAAACTTGTGTAGGAAATCAGTATTTTCATTAAAATGAGCATGGTACGTAATAGGCAGAGAAGAAAGTAGTCACTAGAGTGAATGGCTTTATCCTCTTGTGTTTCACCCTCAAAGGGCTTCTGATGAATACTCAATTGGTAAGGCAGTGCCAGGAGGGCAGAAGTCAGCTGGTTACACTGGGGATTGATTGAAGTCAATATGTTGCTACTATAGTTGGTAAATCTTATCCTAAAGGTGTGTAAAGTCAGATAAATACATAATGTAACAGGGAGGGACAAGCTAAAGACTGTGAATGGTGTTACCTGTCTCATAAACCAGTGGCCAAGCGCAGATTTGATTCTGACATCTGGCCTCAATAAATCAAACTATTCTTTGCATGGGAATCTTGTCCTTTTAAGACTGCTTCAGGACATCTTGTGGCTTCGCTCCGAGGATATAAGCAAATGAAACTTACGAAGTTAACGCTTGAATTTTCAAAATGCTTCTGAAATAACACTTTTTCTCATAGTGTGATAGAAATGAGCAAATTGGTTTCTTTGCTGGTCTTCATGGATGAGGGAGAACTATAGCCCAGGGCAGAGTGGGTCTCTTAAATCTACCCTGTGCCTATCTTCAGATCTGTTGCCACGTGAAAGTATGGCATCTCTTGCTCCATCCCTCCACAGTCCGAAGGATGCGGAGGACTTGGCTGCTGCCTGCCAAGCAGGGTGCAACTGTACAGGGGAAGGCAGTGAGGCAGGGTGGGAATGAAGTCCCAACAGGTTTGCAGGGAAATAAAATTATCTAACCTTCCAGGCGGGTAGCATATTTATTCTAGGCGCTATCAGGCAATCAAAGGCATAGCATGGGGTCGTTTGTGCCCAGGTCTTGTCTTAAAACAGAGCTGGGGCAAACACAGATGCTGGGAGCAAGATGCCAACCTCAGGTGTAGCCACGATGGACTTTCAAATTATCTGTCCCTTGTATACTGGGCATGGCTGGGAGTATTTGTTAGGTGCTTTATTGCCTGCTGGTGACAAGTCTCTTTCTCAAGGGTTTTCCTGGATCAGGAATGCTGAAGAAGACAACCATGGAGCCACCTCCAGGGAAGCTGGATGTCCAAAACAGCATGGCCCAGAAAAACAGGTCCCCCTCCTCTCCCCAGGTTGCACAAGACCTTACCAAAAGCTGCCACCGTCAATGGTGATTTGTCATCTGTCGGAGTGGGCACAGGCAAGTAGCCAGAGGATGTCGGTGTTGGGGTGACTGGCTCTGAGGTGCCTACAAGAGAGGGAAAAGGTAGCTTTATGTAAAAGTATTTCTTCTAAGGTTGGGAAGAGAATTCCTAGCAATGCTAGAAGACCGAACTCGCACTTTATTGAAGAGAATGACATTGGATCCTGGCCATCCCCATCAATGTTAACAGCAAAGGAACTGAGACTTATCTGGGAATCAGATTGCCTTGGTGCGGCCCCTTTTATTGACAGTCTGAGAACACCCGCAGGGTTTTCTGCTGAGGCCCTAGTGACGAAGCTGAGTGTGGCAGGTGAAGGGCTGATCTGGCAGTGTGTCTGGGGGCATGCTTGTCCTGTCTCCCATGCTTTTCAACCTTTTGCCATGGTGGCACCTTTCCTGCTATGACTCACAATCACTGTTCCCAGGCTCAACAGGTTACCCCAAAGTGCTGCCTCTTTGGAGGTTTACAGGCTTTTTAAGGGCTAGATGGGATGGCCGGCATCGCTCATGTACTCCTTGGCTGTTCACTGTGTTGCCTTGAAGACAGCAGTATGATGGCCTTGCTGTTGGCTGTGAAAAGGGCTATAAAGCAGCTCGTGATAACCATCTCTCTGCATGAGAAAGGAGAAAGCACCTTGAGTTGCTGATGCTGTGGTACACTCACTTCTCTTGGGCTCTTGACCTGCACAGAGAAATGCAGAATGTGAGTCTTGCCCTTGAGTGTCATGTAATAACCATAAGAATAAATGGGCATGCAGGGGAGGAGAACAGATTCACAGTAATGCTGGTGATATCTGGGAAAACATGGAATTCATACTCTGGCTTTGTACTAGTTGCCAGACATACTTGGTACTATTTGCCATGTCCAAATAGAAACTGAAGGAACCAAAATTCAAATTCCCTTGTACAAACCTTGTTCAGGTTCTGCAGTCCCAGATGCATTTTTTGGGCAGATACAGCAGTTGAATACTGGAAGAGTGAACTGGGAAGGTTATAGATTTGCTATTGCTCATAAATGTTGAGACTTAAAAAAAAAATCTGCTTAGGGGAAGAAATTCTGCAGAATATGGGTATGGACTGACTGTTCGGCCTGTCCTTGGAGTTGGAATTAGTGGGTGTGCTGTCCTGGGTTATCTAGAAGTAATTAAGCTAGCTTGAGTTGGGCTAACTTGTACATCATATGTTGTCTAGCTGTGGCAGCGTAGAGGTTTGTTCGAGCAAGGACTCCAGTTCTCAGTGGGATGGACTGGCTTATGTAGAGCTGTTTGGTTTGTGACAGCTGCTTCCAATGCCCGTGCAAGCAGATTCAAAGCTAGCCTATGTGTTTCACTTGTACAGAGAAAAAAAACCCTTTGCTGCCTGCTGGATATGTGTTGAACGGCCAGATTTTCTGCATTGACCTTAATGAGGAGCTACAGGCCCAGTCAGGAGACTAAAAATGAGATTTCAGAGCTTCAGAAGATCATCTGTAGGTCAAGAACAATTTTCTTTCCTCCTTTCCCATCCCTGCCTTCCCAGTAGCAGCATTGGCCGAAAGTGTGTGCTGCCTGGAGAAGTGTGAAACAGCTCCTGGCACTCTGCAGTCGGCTGCAGGGCGGGCAGCTGAAACTGGGGTTCCTGTCTTGCAGAAAACATCACCGTTTCCAAATGTAATTTTGCCAAAAGTCAGAAGAAAAAGAGGAAACGGTATGAAATAACAAATCTAACTGGTTCAGAAATGGGTAACCACACAGAGCAGAACAGTCCTGAGAAGAAGGGACTACTGCTGTGCAATGTTTTCACCAGTCATAAAACCCTTTGCTTCATTCTGAAATTGTTCTTCTAGCCACAGGCGGTGCGTAGAAGCCATGGTTTGCTGAGCCTGGCATGGATACCCTGTCCCTGGAAGATGTTAGGTCTCACACAACAGGAGACTTCACTTTTGGAAGCATCAGCAACATTTCTATTGTCAAAGATGTATGGAGATTTTCAGATATAAAGAAGGGTTATAATTAATAGCAGTCTGCTCTGCTGCAAAGAGCTCTTGGCTTAGCTGGGCACAGGCATGCTGGTTGGACATCTGTGCAGCCAGAGCTGACCACGGGTTGTACTGAAGACCTGAGAGGTACTTGGAGAGGCAGAGCAGCTTCCGTCTTGACCACTGCAGATTTTTGAGGCTGAATCTTTAATGGAGAGTCAGCTTAGTTGTCAGATTTCAGTCTTCCCACTCTCTTGGATTCTGCCCTTGTTCTGAGAAAACCCACGCTGAATTCCCTAATTTTTGCTTACAGGCTGGGTTAGGCAAACTGTCAAAAGCAAAATTTTTTTGTTTTTTTAAAGGATGTTAAAAGGGTTCCCTTTTCCTAGACGTAGATCAATCTTTCAGCTGTTCAAGTTCATCCCAGGCGGAGAATGTTGAGTGCATTTGGTCTTGTGTTTTATCACTGCTTGTAAGGATACCAGACATGATTTTGGTGTTACTGATAGGTCAACCCCAAGATGAAGACTAGTGCTTAGATAACCTGCACCATGTGAACCAAGTAAGCTAATTGCCATGAAATCATCTAAACTTACTGTTACTCTATAAAAGGACAAAGTACCTTGAGGTGGTGAAGCTGCTGTGCTTCTGCTCCCATTAGACATTTCATCTGGATAAAGAAAACATGGGAAAGGAGAATTAACTCTTCAGTTTGTTACTAATTGTGCTATGGAGAGCTGTTGAGTTTCCATGGGGTAAAAAACTGTGTTTGCACGAGACTTCCCCTCCAAACAAACGTCAGTATGTCTAGCTAGCAAGCTGCGCGGTCAGTTTTAGCTGTACATGAGAGGTGAGCTTGGGAGAGGTCTGCTGGACAGGCTGGGGTGCCTGTAGCTCCTCCACAAAACATTGCCTGGTAAAGTGTGATCTGGCTTTTCTGATATCAGCTTGCTGTGCAGCTGCCACATCTAGGTCATGGTTGCATCCAACCCTGTGCTTCTGGGGAGGTGGAATGAGCTGCTCTTTTTGCAAAGACTCAAAGAGATTCAAAAGTTGGTGCTGCTGGCTAAGTAGCATGGTGTGGACTCGCCCAGTCTTTCTGATACCCCCGGTTTTGCTGGGATAAGGAGGGATGCATAAACAGGTCCTGCCTGAGCAAAAATTTGAGTTTTCCATACTTACCTTGTGCAGTCAATGCTAGCAGTGTTGTAGCGATGGAAGAGGATTTGGCTGTGGTAGTTTGACCGACAGAGGTGAGATTCAAGTCGGTTGGTGGTGTTGATTTTACTGAGGGCTCTGTAGAGGAAGCATAGCGTTACTTCAGAGAGCTCTGCTCTCCACAAGCTCTGCTCAGAAATAGCTTGGAAGAGGGCATGGCTATTGCAGAGTCCTCAGACTCCTAGGGAGTTACGGATAATCTGCTGGTGAAAGCATGGGTGGGAGCAGGCAAGGAAATAGCCTGCTCAGAGTCAGGGAGCTCTTGTGCTTCAGCATTAGCTTTTGCATTTTTAGTGTATGGAGGTGCTGAGCTGGCAGACCTCTGGGGACACATGGAGAAAGTCTGCTTTTTGCCATTGCTTTTCTCCCACTTTGAAAATGAAGGTATTTTTATCACTGGACACTTTAACTAGCTAGAGCTGCCTGGCACCCACGTGTTTGTTTGCTTGTTATCTGAAACACTAGCTTTTATGTTTCATTTCACTGAGAGTCTCTAAGCACGAGTTATTCAGTTCTTGCAGTGGTCTGTAGGCTCTGTCAGCTTCCTCAACCTGCTACTCAAAGCTGCATAGCAAGGACATGATCCAGGGCAAGACGTGGGGGGAAAAAGCTTTGAATAAGCCCTCTGCAAGGAAGAGTGAATCACCAGCTTGGAATTTATAGGCAAGTTCCTTGTCTAGAGTTCTCCTGGCCTTCCAATAAAAACAAGAAATGAGCAAAAATGGTTTTAAGGTAGGTAGTTTTTTTGTTTATTTTCCTTTTATCCAAATGCTTCACTGAAATATTTAATTTAGGAATTAGTTTCTTTTTTCTGGAAGGTATAGAAGCAGAATCTGAGATATCTTTGAGATCTTTTTGCTTTATATTTTAGGGGTCCCTTTGGAGGGGTAGCTATGGCTAGAAAGATTATTTCCCCCTCCCCGAACACAGTACGAAGAGATCTGTCTCCAAAGATCCAAGTGGACGAACAGATGTGGATCTGGAGTTGGAGAGATCCCTACTTGTGTATTTGATTTTGTGTGTTTTTAGACTGAAACTGTAACTTCCTGCTAACACCTCGCTGCACCCACTTCCAGGGCTCCTGTGTGACCGTGGACACGTGGCAGTGCCCTGAAGCTGGTTTCAGCAGAGGAGGAGAACAGAAAAAAGAGAATAAAGTAACGGAACTCCTCAGAGGTTTGTATTACTTTTAAATATTTTTCTGTCCTTACGAGTGATTGCTGTTTCTGTGAAGGTAGAGGCTGGTTTCAGCAGAGGAGGAGAACAGAAAAAAGAGAATAAAGTAACGGAACTCCTCAGAGGTTTGTATTACTTTTAAATATTTTTCTGTCCTTACGAGTGATTGCTGTTTCTGTGAAGGTAGAGAGCGCAGCAAAACCCCCAACATGAATACCTGAAGTAGAGCTAAGGCAGTGTTCAGTCCCTGTGCTGATACAGACATGGTACAGCTTAGGACAAGCCTCTTCATGCTTCCCCTTGTCCTCTTGGAGCCATGGGGAACATGTTGACCCGTGCTGTGGGAGGAGCTGAGCATGTGCAAAGCACTGGAAGTTTTTAGTTAAAAAACCAAAACAAAATGCGGTCAGGCTTGTCAGGAGAGCGGTATCGAACGGTGAATGTAATGCAGGGAAGCTCTTACAACAATGACTTCACGACTTCATCACTGCTACTTCCGTCGCGACACCAGGAGCCAAGGCCAGACGCGGCGTGCGAGGCAGCGTGCTTGCACGGCCCTCGCGTGGGAGAGCTGCTGAGCGGAGCGGGCGATGCTGGGTAGGGGGGTCAGCAGCGCGGACGCGGCCCAGCCTGGCTCCTTGCCTGCGCCCTGGGCAGTCTCATCCTTTGTGCACACAAGATGCAAAGCCCTGGGTTGTCACATGCTGACTGTGCTTCTCCCTATTCAATTTAGTGATTTTACCCTGTTCTCACTCACACCTGTGCCTTAATCCCTCTTGGAGTGAGCTGGCTGGATCAGAAGCCCTTACACCACAAAATTTCCTTCTTCCCCACCACTATTCTCATCTAACCTGCCACTCCACAGCCCCATTTATTGCTGGATGGCCCAGCTGGACCGAAGATCAGACCAGTTACAAACCAGGATGCCCCTGATCTGCACTCTTTGGTCTCCAGGTGAGCCGTACCTGAGGTATGGTTCTTTACTTCAGGGCTGTGTGTTGTTGACTGGGGTTGACCTGTAACACAAGCAGAGAGACAGGGAGGTGATGTCTCCTACATGTGCTCCTTGTTGGCGGGATCCCCATAGGGAGGGTCGGGTCAAAGGATGGGCCCTTCAGTGAGAGCTGAAAGGGTGACAGGGGGAATCACCAGCTTGGAATTTATAGGCAAGTTCCTTGTCTAGAGTTCTCCTGGCCTTCCAATAAAAACAAGAAATGAGCAAAAATGGTTTTAAGGTAGGTAGTTTTTTTGTTTATTTTCCTTTTATCCAAATGCTTCACTGAAATATTTAATTTAGGAATTAGTTTCTTTTTTCTGGAAGGTATAGAAGCAGAATCTGAGATATCTTTGAGATCTTTTTGCTTTATATTTTAGGGGTCCCTTTGGAGGGGTAGCTATGGCTAGAAAGATTATTTCCCCCTCCCCGAACACAGTACGAAGAGATCTGTCTCCAAAGATCCAAGTGGACGAACAGATGTGGATCTGGAGTTGGAGAGATCCCTACTTGTGTATTTGATTCTGTGTGTTTTTAGACTGAAACTGTAACTTCCTGCTAACACCTCGCTGCACCCACTTCCAGGGCTCCTGTGTGACCGTGGACACGTGGCAGTGCCCTGAAGCTGGTTTCAGCAGAGGAGGAGAACAGAAAAAAGAGAATAAAGTAACGGAACTCCTCAGAGGTTTGTATTACTTTTAAATATTTTTCTGTCCTTACGAGTGATTGCTGTTTCTGTGAAGGTAGATAGTGAAGCAAAACCCCCAACATGAATACCTGAAGTAGAACTAAGGCAGTGTTCAGTCCCTGTGCTGATACAGACATGGTACAGCTTAGGACAAGCCTCTTTATGCTTCCCCTTGTCCTCTTGGAGCCATGGGGAACATGTTGACCCGTGCTGTGGGAGGAGCTGAGCATGTGCAAAGCACTGGAAGTTTTTAGTTAAAAAACCAAAACAAAATGCGGTCAGGCTTGTCAGGAGAGCGGTATCGAACGGTGAATGTAATGCAGGGAAGCTCTTACAACAATGACTTCACGACTTCATCACTGCTACTTCCGTCGCGACACCAGGAGCCAAGGCCAGACGCGGCGTGCGAGGCAGCGTGCTTGCACGGCCCTCGCGTGGGAGAGCTGCTGAGCGGAGCGGGCGATGCTGGGTAGGGGGGTCAGCAGCGCGGACGCGGCCCAGCCTGGCTCCTTGCCTGCGCCCTGGGCAGTCTCATCCTTTGTGCACACAAGATGCAAAGCCCTGGGTTGTCACCTGCTGACTGTGCTTCTCTCTATTCAATTTAGTGATTTTACCCTGTTCTCACTCACACCTGTGCCTTAATCCCTCTTGGAGTGAGCTGGCTGGATCAGAAGCCCTTACACCACAAAATTTCCTTCTTCCCCACCACTATTCTCATCTAACCTGCCACTCCACAGCCCCATTTATTGCTGGATGGCCCAGCTGGACCGAAGATCAGACCAGTTACAAACCAGGATGCCCCTGATCTGCACTCTTTGGTCTCCAGGTGAGCCGTACCTGAGGTATGGTTCTTTACTTCAGGGCTGTGTGTTGTTGACTGGGGTTGACCTGTAACACAAGCAGAGAGACAGGGAGGTGATGTCTCCTACATGTGCTCCTTGTTGGCGGGATCCCCATAGGGAGGGTCGGGTCAAAGGATGGGCCCTTCAGTGAGAGCTGAAAGGGTGACAGGGGTGAGAGATGCTGAGGAGGGAGTTTGTCACTGTTGTGGCTGTTGGGACCTGTGGGCAAAGGGACCTTGGCTTCAAGGATCCGTGGAGGAGACCGTGTTAACTGCTAGGAAACAGCTGGGGAAACGGGGAGCAAAGGTGAGGTGGGATCCCTCTGCTTTCGCTAGGCTTCCTGGAACACATTACTGCTCTCTTCCAGAAAAAAGGGGAGCCAGACGAGGTCATGCTCTGGGGTGCAGTGGCCTCCATGGCCCCTGGAGATCTGGGGGTGAATGATGATAGATGGGGCAGGCAGAGATGGGCAACGCGGGGTCCTGGGAAAAGGGTGGGAAGTGGATGGGAGTTCTGAATCTGGTTCTCATTTGTGGACTCTCCATTTGCATCCCCACGTGGGCATGTGCATCCACATCCCAATAGACATTTAAAGCAGATCACAACCAGGAGGTACCTGTTACAGCATGGACAGAGGGGTCTGCGGAGGCTGTAGTACCTGCAGTGAAAGAATAAGAGTATTAGCGGTGTTAATCTGTGACTGTCACTAACGCATTCGTGTTCTTGCTGGTTGTGTGGTTTGGGTTTTCCTCATCTTCTGTACAACTGACTTTGAAATACATGATTTCCCCAAAAGCATCAGCAAAGAAGCAGTAGCCAGTGCAAACACTGAGTGCCAAGCTATCAGGTTGTGAGTACATCGCTACTGGAGTTTATTCAGCCAGGATAAATGACTTCCTCCCCGGATGGAGCCGAACCCTTCAGGGAGCTGTCTTCTCTCTTACAGGGAAAATGCAAGGCCATATAAACCAGTGGGGTCGTTCCCTCCCCAGGAGCTGTTTGCCTCCGGCTCAGTTTTGGCAGGGAAAGGCTGTTTGACCTGTGTTCTGGAGCTGTTTAAAGAGTTAAGACGCACATTTGAATGCTGGATTCCCTTGAGACCTTCATGAGTGGATGGATGAGGTTTGTAAAGGCTTCCAGGAGCCGACGGGACTCTTTTCCTTCCTGCCTCCTACCCCTGATCCTTCTGTTCCCTGTGTTTGCATCCTCGGAAGCCGGCTGAAGCCTTCTGGCTGTGTAAGCCCGGACAGAGCAAGGGGGCTGTTGGGGGCTGCAGGCTGCAGACCAGCTCGGAGCTGCCTTCCCTGGTAGTGGTGGGCAGTCCTGTAGGTCCATGCAGGGCTTTGCCCTCCCAGGATTGCAGGTGTTGCACTGAGTCCCTAGTTTCTCAACTGAGCGGTAGTTTTTTTGGGTTTTTTTTCATTTTTGTTTTGGATTTATGACAAAGCATCCCTGCACCAATCCCACATGTTGCCTGTCCTCAGGACCCCTGGTGTTTTTCTTTAAGCTCCAGCTCCTGGAGTCCTATGATTGGATGAGATGCCAATTAAAAATGCTGCCATTTAAAACAGAAAAAAAGAAATGTCCAGTTCCCATACCTAGGGACAAGAACTGGAAAATGTAAATGCACTTTAAGTGCTCAAATCAAACCTAACGGGTTTAACTTTGAAAAGGCGACTTTGAGTCTGTTGTTTTGGAAATGTGCATCCTAATTGGTATTTTAAAATGGTTATTGCTGGCAGTCCTGGTGCTGCCCGTAGCTAAGATCAATGAAGGAAACTACATAACCACTACAGAAACCAGCTGAATCTGATCCCACCAGTGATCCATCTCACCAGAGTCCCACGAGAGCTGACAGCTCCTGAAGGTTTCGGTCAAATAGGGCCAGCAATACAGGTTGCATCCTTTCACCTCGCTGTTCCCTTGTAATGCCGTGCAGCTCTGTTGCAGCAGTGGTCAGCAACGAGGTGCAGTGCATGTGCTACAGCTCGTGGGGTGGCAGGGGGGAAAGATCCAGCAAAGCAGAGCAGTTCTTGTGCACCCATTTACAGCCCAAATCTGTGCTTCCTGTACGCGAGATTCTTCTCACTTGCTGCTTTACATCTTCATCTCGCCAGCTGTTTTACATCTCTCACGAGCCAGCCTGCGAGAGAGCTCATCTCCAGACTCTCCTTCTCACCAAAGTGAGGACCAGGCACTTCTGAAACCCTATTGCTCTGACTTGTTTCAGACCTCTACCTTACCTTACCTATTTCAGATTTCTACCTTACTCTAGCTGTGGCTGGGGGAGACACAGCCTGCCACATCCCGTTCCTTACCAGGAGCCGGAGAAGTGGTGTAGGTGATGTACGTCATGGTAGGTACCTACGCTGTAGGTGTCCGAAAGAGGCCAGATGAATGCCCTGGTAGTGGTGTGTATCTGGAATGAGATCTTTGGCTTCCAGTGTATGGGGGTTGTCGGGGCTTGGCTCGGAGCCCACCCCTTGGGACCATCTGGGTGTAGTGAGCTCCTGATAGATCTCATTTTTCTCATGCAACAGTGTTGGAACCATAATTGTTTGTGGTTTTTTTTTTTTTGTCTGAGGCTTTATGACAATGATCCCAGCCAAAAAGGAACAAAACCAGTGTGTAAACCATGGTGCATACACAATAAAACACGGTCTCTTTATAGGTGGGATTTGGCTGTGAAAATCAGACCTGACTTTTCAAATCTTTTTGGTGCTTTTCTCTTCTAGCTTACCAGGCAGCAGGCTGGCAAAGCTGTCTTGTTTAGTCCATAAAAGAGGAGACATGATCAGATCTTTAATTACATGGAGAGGAAGGGACTAACTGGTTTTCTAAATCCTTTGGGAACAGGACCAGAAAACAAGGACTTTAAGTGCAGCAAGGAAAGGGGAGGCTGAGCAACAGAAAACTGTCTTGACATAAGGATAGTGAATTGCGAGGAGTGATTGTGTAGGAGAATTACAGGATATCCTTCTCTGCAGGTTTTGAAGAGCAGGTTGAATGAACGTCAGTCTAGAGATGTAGACAGGATTATGGACAGATGTAACATCGTTTATTACATCTACCAATATCGTGAAAAAAGAGATATTTTGGGCACACGGTAGCCTTTCTTAAAGAAGTAGAGATGCTTGTTTTGAGGAAGGGGCGTGCACCCCTTTTCAGCCGTGTCGTGGGATGCTGTGGGCACTGCCTGCTCCGGGGGGGCCCAGCTGACTCTACGGAGAACGTGCAGTGACTGAGGCTGTTTCCATTGATCCCGAGAGTTTCTCTTTGTCACTGGGCTTCCTCTTAAACACAATTACAACACAATTTCTGGACATTGGTTTGCAAATGCCTTAAGGTACTCTGTATACTTTCAGCACAAAAAAATAATGTGCTGAGATCATTGTGGGGGCCAGTATCCTCTAGCAGCTGCCAAACTCAAACAGCTCCTCTTTCTCCAAAATTTCCTTGCAGAGGCCATTGTCTTGTTCCTCCATGGCGAGAAGTAGCTGCTTGTAACACATCACACAGGTGCTCTTTAGTGTACACGGCACATGAAAGCATCAAGAATTGCTGAAGAAAGAGCTATTGTCTATACTTAGTCTTTGTCAAAGGAAAAGGAGGGTGAAGGTGCTGAGCTGGGAGCTTATTTCATCTTTTTTGGTGCAGCTGAGGAGAAATCTGAGAGCTTGCACGGAGCCTCTGGGGATGGGAGGAAGGTGAGGGCAAGGAGATGACATTGCACTGTACTGCGTCCCTGATGGGACCATCCTACGGGCGAGCTCCAGCTTCCCCGGCGCTAGGGCAAGAGGAGGAGGATCTGTACTCAACATTTTCTTCCACTGCAGCTCAGCCCTTCACTGAAGGTCACACCAGAGCACTGGCTCATAAGGAGTTCTTCATTTGCAAAACTAAACCTTGGGCTTATTGTAAATAAGATGAATAAGCAGGTTTTTTGCATTGCTCAGTCCCTGGAGTTCACCTGGCCAAGTAGCTGCTTGCTCTGGTCTGCTGCATTTGAGCTTTGCTGCAGAGAAGTGACCGGTCTTGCTGCGAAGGGGCCAAGGGATGGAGATCCCCTTCTGGCGCTTTGCTCAGGAATAAATGGCCCTGGCTCCTCCAAACACAACCGCACGTTATTTCAAAGCGGAGCAGGTCTGGCTCTGACTTCTGGCCACTGCTCCTTGTTATTCCTTCCCTGCCAACTCAAATAATCAGAAGTGTGGCTATATCAGTTGTTTTCTTTCGGTGGAGGTGCTTAGCATCCCGGCTGAATTGCAGCGGAGGGGGACGGACGTGGCGAAGCAGGAAGGGACCCAAGTCACGTCGTGGGGCTGGGCGGCAGGACGGCTACGAACAAGAAAAGGCCACGCGTCGCGGCTCCCTGCTGACGTCCCCAGGGACTCCCGTGCAAACGGTGCTGGACACCGCTTCCTCCGGTGCCGCTGCCAGCACGGCCCCGCTCCCCTCCAGGCAGGGCCCTGGCTGTGTAAACAGCTAACAATAATAATCAGGACGCGGCCAGCGCAGCTGTAATTGCAATAAACATCAAAGCCATTCAAACGACTCGCCACTGAGCGTAAGCACTGCCAAGATATTTGTTGCGTGTTTGGGTGCAAGTGATTTATAGCCAGACTGTGCAGTTCTAGGTGGAGACGGGGAGCTTGCTGAGGGATTTATGATGGGAAATACGGCTTTCTGCTCTCGCTGTAAGGGGAAACTCCTGATTACCCACCAGAGCCACGGAGCTGCAGAGGAGTGTGTCGGAGCTGCAGGTGCATCTCAGCTCTGGCTCAGCGCTAGCTGCTTTTTGCTTCATTTTTCCAGAGGACGAGCGGGGGAGTTCTGGATTTCTGTTATCTGCAGTAATAGTTCCGTGAGCTTAGATGTGAGTGTTAGACCGAGAGCAGAGGGCTCTTTCCATGGAGCCTTCTCACACGGCAGCCAAGATGTTCCCAGAGCCAGCAGCTCACCCTGTTCACTCCTCAGCACAGAAAGAGAATGATGTAAAACAAAAACGGGTGAGTTTTAGGTATTTCTGCTTTGGTATTATTTTTGGCAATCGCAGATGTTTAAAGAGTGGTTTCTCCAGCTGCTGACCAAGGAGAGGCACTGACATTTCAAAATCCCCCAGACTTTACATCAGACCCTCTGTAGAGCAGCGCTGCTGTAGCAGAGACCTGGGCCAGCTGCTGGGAACACCTCAGCAGGGTTTAGGTGAGGCTCAGGAAGGGGTTGTGCTGGCCCGTCGGTATCCACAGAGGGATGGAGGCACAGGGGAGGGTCTCTGGCACCAGTATGAAGGCGCAGGGACTGGTCCTGTCCACTCAGAACTGGTGATGGAGAGGAGCCGTCTGTCCTCGATGATGTGTGACCCTGGACTCCCCTCCATCTCTGGCAGTTCTGGGGGGAGACGTGGCGATGTCCTACCTGTCCCCAGGCAGCGCATGGCATGGCAGGGAGCTGCAAAGCCCCTGTGGCACTGCGCAGCCTTGCTGTACCAGCCTCGGCGTCACCCGCTGCTTGCAGGTTGGATAAACAAATGCTTTCAGAAAAGAGACCTAGCAACCTAAAATTAGACTTTTCGATTCATATATTGGCAATTCTGTCAAATGACCCACGACAAAAATACACTGACTGCTTAACGAGAGTGCAGCTGTTTCCTGGGTG